AATTAAAAAATAATTTTTGTCAAAAAAATATCGAAAAAGAAAAAAATTTGAATTTGTGCTGATTTCCCATAAAATATTTTAGCATATAAAGCAAAAATAATAAATATATGCAATAATAAATTATCAAAATAAAATAATAGTATTTACACAAAACTGCAGTTTGTCTGAAAACAGAGCTACTATATAATTTTAAGTCTAACTTAACTTCAACTTAAATGTAAGTAATTGTACGCTTTAAAGTTGTGCGTCCAAATATTAAAAATACAAAAAAAAACTAACATATTTTTAGTATAAAATTATTTAATTATAAATACTTTGTTTAATTTTCAAAGTTGTTGTATTTTTTGTTGTAATTTTCACACAGCTGCCATAGATTTTCTTATGAATTTAACTTAAGCTGATTTTAAAAATATTTGCCTAGCATACCCTCCACACATGCTTAAAAGAGTTTGGTTGTATTTTGGAAATATTCACTTGATTTTGTTACAATATTAAATATTCTTTGAGAAGAAGCACTTTATTTCACAAAAAACGATACGTTCAGCTAAAACTGTGAGAGCAATAAATATACAATTTGCATAACTAGTCAACAATCAATACGAGTTTGGTCCATAACTTTACATATTTTTCTATGTGTGTGTTTTTGTAATTTTTCAATATCTTTACTTTGGTTTGTAGGTAGAAAAATTCATCGAGTTACAATTTTTGTGGGCGGGAGAAATGATTATTTGATTTGTTTGTATTTTATTAAGTTGCTTGTATCAGCTTTTAGTTAAACATGTATATGTATGYTTATATATTTTTGTTAATTTTTTAGCGTATATATTTTAAATTGCATTTAAATGTAGTTTTCCGTTTGTTACTTGTGATTTGGTCCGCATTAATTTTCAGCCATCGCATGTAAATGAAAAGAATTTCTCTTTAGCTACGCTTATAGTATATAAAGACAATATATAGCATGTTTTTTACATACATAAAATCAAAATATTTTTCAACACTTTTTCATTGAATTTTGTTTAGTTTTAGAATGCAGCACAGTTTTTACATTAAGTGTTTGTTGTTCGCTTTTTTGTTTTTACTAATCTAGTGTTTTTTTTTTTAATATTGTATGCTAAAGTTGGATTTTTGTATGTATTTGCTGTAGTACATAGTATTCGCGCAAGATTTAGTCTTTTTTGTTATGTTGTAACTTCGTTCAATGTGGCTAACTAAAGGTCTTCACCTCCTTCATTTTTAATTTATATTATGTTGTAGTTGTTGTACGCTATGTATGTATATGAAAGACTTTATAGATATTATGTACACACTGAGGCTTTTACATGCAAAAATACTATTCGTAATGGTAGTAGTGGGGCTCAAAAATATTTTTGACTGTTTTGATCGGGGCCAATGGCTTTACAATTTGTCAACTTTTGGTGGACTTTTTGAAGAATTTTTGAATATTTTTTCTTTATCATTCAGTTGGTTTTGTGCAATTTGCAAAATTTCTTTGCTTCATGGCCAATAAAGGCGGCAAGCTTTTTACGTTTACTGGTTTGGAAATTCTTTCAGGACTCACGTTATTCTGAAAATCTTAGCCACCACTAATACGCATATTGTATACTTTT